TCATGCAAAATTCAGACAAAATTTTTCCGAAATATATAAGTCTGTTATAAGTGATCACTTTTACTCCCAGTTTGAATAAATGAAACTTTAAGAGACTTATAATTCGGAACATTGATATATTTTGGAGTACCATACACGAGAGTATATCAGATCATAACAGTAACAGCCTGCGATTATATGAATTTAGGTACTCTAAATTATATTCTTGTTAATATTATAATCGATAGTCAGATCTTTACAACTACATAATCAATTACTCAGATATATGTCATATTTAATCAACTACAGAAATGCTAATTGCTATACCTCTCATTTCTTGAATTCTGAAATTCTTGTGTCAAATGAAATTGCTTTTAATTCCTCGTTAAAGAACAACGTCTCACTAGCAATAATAAAATCAACAAGAACGCCATGTAATGAATTACTACCGAGGTGTTGCCAAGCATGGCCTGTTGCATAATTACAAAATTGTTGTATTGATGATGTCTGACTTTTGTGAAGAAACAAATCAATTTGTTCTTGTGAAGGTGCAGAATTCGTTCCAAATGGATGCTTGAATCTTTGCAAAATCTCTTCTCGTACAGAGTTGGTACCACGTAAGAATTTGACATCTGTGGGATGGTTTCCTAACTGAGTAATCAAGCAATAGTTGGTGTCCTCATTTTCTTGTTCTTCTTCGCGTTGTGCTTCTACATTTGATGCAAATTCATCATGACACGTGGCAACGATGTGAGCATTTAACAAGAATCCCATCAAGAGTTTATGATTAGGAGGCCAGATATGACGACTGGTAACTCGACGAATTTCATCAATATTAGCTGCTAATAATTTGTTTGATTCTTCAATTGCCACTCGACATAGATCAAATAGATTATATTGTGTACTAGTAACAGCAACTTGTTTATAGTTATCGTTAATATTATGAACTAAATACTCTGTCAACTTCTGAGTAGATGGAAAGTGTGTTAACGAAATGTCACGTGAACGACCGCCACTACTGAAGCTTCCATGTTGCTGTAAATACCAATTGATCATCACATAGTGTTTATCGTCACGGGAGCATAATGAAATAGTTTCGAATTCGAAGATTTTTGAAGTTGAACATTTAACGGTTTTGATACGATCTCAGAACTCATAATAATCTAAGGTTAATACATGCAACGATTTCATGATCTTAAATAATTCACTTTCTTATCGTTGATTAATGATTACAAATTCGAACTTTTGTCAGACTGCAAGCTTTTAACAGCGTCTATCAGACTGTAAATAGGGCTTTGGTAAGATGAATTTCTAACACTTTTTCCTTATTTTGTCTCTATAAGGTCTTTTTTCTGACTGCATCTTGGTTCGTTAGACGTTGTAGACTTAGGAAGCCAATGATCCTTAACTGAAGCAGAAAAAATAAACCGCACTCTGAAGATATATCTAAATACACTTTTTATATATGGATGATTCCCGCAAATGTACTAAAATGTAATTGCAAAATATCTGATGTTCTATCTCTACATCCTTTGTATCTATGTACCTCTAATCTGTGTGCAGCTGCTAGCAGACGTGGTCTGTACTTGTTGTTAAGAACGAAGTGATAGATCCTGTCTTTGCAGAGAAATATAAATACTATATTTCTAGACATTACCTAATTTATAGTGATTTTTCATGTTCCAAATTACTACAGAAATGTCTCACACATCTTTTTTGCTTATAACTACGGAACGCCATGTGCAGGGATCTTGAAATTTGGCGAGTATATTCTTAAAATGGGTCATATCGACAAAGTTTTTTGAAAAATAAGAAAGTATAAGATTAGAACTAAAGTTCTATTAGAAAGGATAGATTTCGCATCATACTGAAGTTTTACCGAAACTTTATTTACCAAAAGATGTGTGAGACATTTCTGCAGTAATTTGGAACATGTAAAATTACTACAAATTACGTAATGTCTGTGTAACGAATTATGTTCTCCCACTTATTGTTCATCTTACTTCTATCTTTCATCCAATCATTATAATGCATCTCTGTCTTTCCAGAGTTCAGGATTTCCTGTCTCGTTTTAGCAAAAGAGCAATGACTATAATCATAGGAAATCATAGGTTTTTTTAAACAACATTTGAATGGTATTCCCGTTTGAGTATGCCGATCCTCACTGTTTGCTCAGAAAGATTGATATATATCAATCTTTCTTTTCAATTTGTGCAACCCTTAAAGAGTTTTATCCATTGAGATATATCAATGGATAAAACTCTTCAAGGGCTGCACAAATTTGTAATAATAAACATTTCAAAATGATATGAATGTACACTTTTTTGGACTGTAAGTGAAAATATACCATAAAAAATAAGATAAATACTCTCATATGATACTCAAGAAAGACGATTTTGTTCCACAAATAATTTCTAGTGCATGCAAAAACCGTTTAATTATTCTACAAAACTATACATGAACGAGGATTCGAAAATTCTGCGGACAATAAAATTTTCTGATCACACGAAAGGAAATGGAAACAGTTGGGTTACATCCACACACATTTCGTTTTTTTAGTGCACTTATTAAATACCGATCTATAATTCATAATCCCAACGCCAAAGCTCATTGCATAAAATGTTACACAACTATTCAAAGTGTTTTTTTTAAAACTTCTTTTCGCAACATTATGCACAGGAATTAAAATTATGCGATGCACACTGCTCATTCAAGTATTTGTTCTTTTTTTACCATGTTGCTGAGTCACAAAATATTGTTTTAACAGTAATGTGATGCATACCTTTACTTATACAGAGAAAGAGAAATAGAATAAGAAACGAATAGAGAACAAGCACGCACGAAAATAAGACATAAAACTCTGTTGATAATATGATAAGGAAATTATATTTAACTTTAATTTCGTTTTCCTCGTAGAATTTTTATTTTATTTTTTAAATTTATTTACAACTGGTAAACGTTTCGAAGTCTAAACCGACTCGTTCTTCAGCAGTATAAATTATATAAATAGCAAGTAATTACAGAAAAGAACACATATTATAGTTAATTAAAATATGCGCGCACAGGATGTTCAATAGCTGCAAATAGTGATCTATAACAGGATGATGTGACAGAATGCATGACATATGCCTGAAAAGAAATGTGAGAAATAAATAATACGTACAGTAAAAGATGATAGGATGATAATCATATCATCTTCCACGAGGAAAACGAAATTTAAGTTAAATATGATTTCCTTATCAACAGAATTAACACTACTTCATATCAAATTTACATTACACATTCTCGTAATGTGGTCACAAAAAAGATACAAAACATTTCTTTTTGTATATTATATGATATACAGGTTAGATTTACAACATTTGCTGACCACGAAGCGTTTGATGACTTTCGCCTAATTGGTGTACATTAAATCAAAGACTCGTCATCTGTTCCTATAATTGAACCAGAGAAAAATTCTAGGCTTCTTCAAAAGAATCAGTGCCATATTTATATTATAACAGTTAACTAATTGGTGTTTTAGCGTACTCAACAATCGAGAACCCGGGTTTTAGGCTGTCTTTACATCTCGGAAGCAAACCGAAAACAGTCAGATAAAAGCTCGTTGTACAGACAATTAAACTGCTGTATATTCGTTGTTATTGAATTTTTCCTCTTCTCTGCGCTTCTGGCACTCCTGTTCATCAACATCAATTATGAGGGTCAATATACTTATTGTCTAGTTTCTATCGATTTGAGCGTAATGTAATTGGTCACGATGACTGAATCGATTAACTTCTCTATGTTCGATATTTAGGATAATTAACAAAATGTATAAAAAAAATGTATTACACTAATGTTTTCTCTCACAATGTATGTGTTATAGTAGCGATTCTTCTTAGAAACTTTTAGTTTAGGTTATCATGAGATGTTTCCAGATGCCACAAGTCCTTTTGGTGCTTTTTTGTGATATCCTACCTTTGTGTAAAATAAAATTTCAATTTCAATTCAATTCAAGGGGAGCCATACTCTATACTTCTGTCACAACTCCCTCTTGCGAAAATTCCAAGAGCCAAGACTGAAAACTTGCATAATTTCACGGTTTCTAGAACTAAAACGTTGAAAAGTTTTCGGAAAGGGCCTGGTCATATACGAATTTTACAGAATCATGCACAAAATCATGTGGTACAGTCACTGATGAAATTTCTTCAGTAGCAAGATCTGCGAAGTCAATACCAACAGTTCTTTCTTGGCGATGATAGCTAATAGAAAAGCAGCAATTGATACAGAGACACGTATACCACCCTTTTTATCAGTTCTACATTTTTCGCTTATTGTAAAGACCCAAAAAAAGGTGACATACAGCTGTTATTGTGCGTTTTTGCTCTAAAAAAACTGAAGAGTATAGTTCAATATAGATCAAGCAAAAGCAATTCCTAATGTACCGTTATGGAAAATTTTGGTAAATGCTATATGCAACAAAGTCGTTTCAGAGAAAAGATGAAGGAACTGTGTAGTACAAATTTTAAAACTTCTCGCCTGTTCAATATTTTGGTTCGTCTAGAAAAGTTTGCTCTATAAACTGTCATCACTGAAATTAAATTTCTTACTCAAATCACTCGAGTGAACCGGTTTCTAACAAATTATACTCCGAAGGCTTTTAGAAAACTTTTTCAGAAACTTTTGATTAACGTCGGACGCCACATGAATTCTGAGAGTAGACAGGGTAGAATGTAAAGATCAAGCGCGCCGCTATGGGGAAATCTCATAATTAAGGCATATTTATAATACTGAAGGTGTATCGAGTTTTCGCCTAAACATCTGTACTGGCGTGGTATCCAAGTACATACTAAGTCTCATTATCAACTTTTCGTCAAAATTTGGTATTTCTGATGGTCTATGTCCAAATGTAAGGAGTTTAAGTACATCACTTGTTAACAGTCGGACATTTATTAGCAAAAAAACAGATGTGATCACTAATAATAAGTTATTTTTTGACACAAATATTTCTAATTTTCGGACATTTATCTATTTCTTGTTTTGCATCTGAATAGGTTCGACTCGTCAATGCCATTAGTAATGCAATGGGTACAACCTAAATAAAAATCAAACTGAATATATAAAAATAGAAGATCGCTAAAAATCATACATGATTTCCGTTTTCTGTTGTTGATATAATATGATCACTAACTGGCTTATTTAACCATTCATCTTTGTTTAAATCGTCAAGTCCGTGTATTGAACTAATTAAACATTTAGTTGCTGTCGACGTATCAACTTGAGCTAAATTCTAGATAGAGAAAATAAATTATTAATTTTTAGTAACACAGTAACAACATACTTTAATAATCTCAACTGCTCTGTAAAACAATTTGATATTACTAAAATGAATAATTGAAATGGTAAATGTTTTATGACGATGAATATGCAACAGTTACCTAACTTTGAGATCAATCATAATATTTTGATATACTTTTCCCTTCAATATATATGCTCCCGTTGATATTGTGTTCAATGCTAATTTTAATATCGTTTCCGCAAAACATTTTTGAATTGTCTTATCCAATACACTGACGTTTTCAACTATTGTATTCAACTTGAAATCAATCAATTGAACATTTTCATTCTGAAAAAAATTAAAAAGCGTTATTAAAGCAAAATATATTTGTTGAAGAGTTTATCTATGTACTTTTGAATTAGACACTGACGATAGTAAATTAATCCAAGCAACATGTTGATTATGCTCCAATAATGTCTGTATTAATGTGTGATCATAAGCTGATGAAAAGTATACACAATCATAAGAATTCATATCATTAGGTACAAAACAGTTTAATACAAACCACCATTAATAAAGATAATTGAACTAGACGATGGTAACTGTTGAAAACATTGATTAAGATTTTCCGGTATTGAAGTAGAAAGAATTAACGAATTCTAAGACAACATATATATATTGAATAACGAGACAACATTTGGTATATAAGGTTTACGCAATTCAACGATCGAATACCATTTTTTTTCTAATAAAATTAATTTTCCAAGCTCCAATCATATTTCGTAGCTTTATGAGTTTATTTTTCTTATTCAGTATGAAAACCTGAATAAGAAAATGTATTTTTGATGGTGTTCACATATAACATGGAAAAATCGGTCGAACTTTTCGACCGAGATTTTTGCGAAAAAATCAGAGTTGTCCCAAAACTCTGAGACATACATGAATTAATTCAGTTTTTGATGCTGATTCCAAATATGAGATTGGTTTTGCAAAAAAAAATAGAAGTTTGACGGTGAAAACTGGAAAATACAAGTGAATTTCCTTGTTTTTGGTACCGATTTCAAGAAAAGTAATTTTCTCAACAACAGAACAATATTTTCCAAAACCGATATGAACTTTTTTCCCATTAGTATCACGGTTGGAATTAGATATGAAATGTGGCTTCATCTAGTAACCAAAAAAGCTAGATAGGTTTACAGTTGGAACTTAGGCCAGATTTGGACCCTTCAGTGAATTCGGGATTTTTCAGGCCATGTTATATGCGAACACCATCAAAAACACATTTTCTTATTCAGGTTTTCATACTGAATAAGAAAAATAAACTCATAAAGCTACGAAATATGATTGGAGCTTGGAAAATTAATTTTAACGGAAAGGACGGGGAACGGTTTCTGCTAGAAAATGGCCCAATATGATTTTGAGTGAAAATGATCGGTAATGCTTCTCTTTTCACTTCCAAACACTTCCCACGTTCAAAGATTCCTTCTGGTGTCTTTCAAACAAAAATTACTTTTCAGTTTTCGCCACCAGTTCAACAAAAGCCATGTACCTTTTTCCGCAAATCTCTCGTCTTTGAGTAAAGCTCATATAAACTCATCTACTCAGAATCGGAATGTTTTATATATGAAAAGATAGAGAATTTTTCGGGCTTCAAAATGAGCTATAACTACGTCTTTTGAAAGTATGCCCACATGGGTCAATAGTCGAAATACTTGGCCGATGTCATGATTTTCACCTATCTTAGTGCGTTAAACACACCTTTAGTCATTTTTCTGCCGTGATAAAAAATTATATATTTTTCAAAAACATACCATTGGATAGCCCTTTAAATTCTCTACAAAGTGAGCTGATCAGATTATCCAGACCGATTGGACCAGTCATTAACGATATCGAAGAGAAGCGTTTGGATGATGCAGTACAGTGTGTCATAATCACAAGAACTCCTTTGTTTTTTATTTTTCGGTAAAAGCTGGGACCAATCTGAATACTGTTTTGGATAGCCCGAAGATTTTTCTAACAGATGAGGTGGATATCGCCGTTTCATGAGAAAAGCTGATAATAGGGTTTCTGGAAAACCTGACCGCTAGAAAACCAAGTCCTTGGTTTTTGGTCAGAAAATTTTTCAAACCATATAGCCTGATAGAGCAAAGAATTCTGATCTTATTTTCCCCAGATTATTCTTTAAAACCTCGTTTATAGCTTATTTTGAAGCCCAGAAAATTCTCTATGTTACTATGTATGAGTTTTGCTCAAGGACTTTGAAATCGAACGAGAAATTTGCGAAAAAAGGTAAATGGCTTCTGTTGAACTGGTGGCGAAAAATGAAAAGTAATTTTTGTTTGAAAGACACCAGAAGGAATCTTTGAACGTGGGAAGTGTTTGCGAAGTGAAAAGAGAAGCATTTCCGATCATTTTCACTCAAAATCATATTGGGCCATTTTCTAGCAGAAACCGTTTCCCATCCTTTCATGGATTTTGAGCCAAATTTTGAGTTTTTCGAAAATGTTTTCCTACAGATTCATTAAGAAACGCCAAAACAGACAAATTTTGTCTCAGTTCGACGAGCTCTACCCAACCATATATAATACATTGAGAACAAAAATGGTGCTCGATCGTTGAAATGCGTGCACCTTAACTATACCGTATTGTCCTCTGGATTTAAATTGTCTTTGAAATAACTGTCTTTCGAATAACTACGAATATCATCATAAGCTTAACACACCAATGACGACTATAGTTCATTATTAGTTGAAAAAACAACGTACAAAAACTACCTGCATTATACGTTGGTACACACTCGGCTGCGTCGATCATGCCCCATATTCCAAAAGTATCTAAACCAACGTATCGAATAAACGAATTTTGAAGAAGACTATGTACAAATAAAACATACGCTAACTTATATCTATCTATTGTCATCCTCGAATATATTTACCTTTCTCCAGCACGTCGAACAGTATTAGCCAAGTTTGTTGAATTTTCATGCATTTTGTTAACTACATTTCTTAGATCTGCGATTAACTTTGACGGTTTTCTGTACAAACGCGGGTAGATCACATGATAGTTTTATTAGAATACAATGTACTTACAAGTGACGATTTTCAAGTGAAGCATGTGCCGTTATAAATGCAATATCTAATATAATCTTCGTTGCTGTGCCACTTTTCATTCTTGATGAACCAGCTATTGGTTCTGGCTAGAAATTAGTTAATTAAATTCGATAAAGATGTAAGAGTATCGAAGTCTACTTACACCGTTTATCGGATTGATAATTAAACCTTCAGAGCGTGTTTCAGCTTCTTGTAATTCTATAGCCACTAAACAATAGGACTAACAGATAAAACGTCTATATTAGTACAAAAGTAGACAAAATACCGTCATAAAACGTTTTTTCCCACTCGGTGACACGAATTTTTCTAAAACATACTCTTAAAAAATTTAAATTTATTCAAAGAAAAAATATTCATTTTTACCTTGCCATTTCTACATGATTGAAACCAATAAGAACTGGTGTGAATTTTTCTTTCATTTTCATACAATAATCTAATTGTCCAGCGACAAATGGAGCCGCTAAACCGCATGTGATACCAATAAAAAGTACTTTATCATACGAATCAGCTATCTACGCAAAAAAAAGATTTTATTATCAAATAACTTGAATTTATCAGGTGAGTAATATACTTGTGTCAATGTACGAACACCCTCGTTTGGACTATCTTCAGTGGCTTCTACAGATGACACTAATGCACTGATAAAGAAACAGATAATGGTCACTCATTTTTCGTAAATAAGGGTATCATTGAAAGGTTAATATTTACCGATTACCACCAGCAATTATGTATTTATATTTTGGTGATTTAGTTTGTTTTTCGCATAATTGATTGAATGTAGCCTTAAAAAAATCAAACAAATTTAAATTTCCTAAAAATTAGAAACAAATTGGTGACACACCGTAGCTAAAAATCCAATTCGTCCAGATGTTCCACAGCCACTAATAATAATGGCACTATTTTCAGTCTATAAATGACGATGATGATGATACGAAATCTGAGAGATCATATTTATACATACGTCAAGTATAACTTTAACTAGTTCTACTAAGCGATCTAATTTCGACAGAAAATTGGAGTCAGATAATCCCTTCAATGAGAAAAACCACTTGAACAACAATATACAAAATAATTCAGTCAACTTGTACATACCTTGTACTCTTGATAACCATCGAACACTTCTAAGTTACATTTGTGTAACGATTGTACAATTCCTAACAGATAATAGTACATTTTAATTTTATTAATCTTGCTGATGTACGAAGTAAAAAATTAGCAATTCGTACCGTATTTTTACCTTCGGGAGTTTCAGCATCAATATTTGTGGTTAAATCATGTGGACGTTCTGTAAACGGTATGATATTCGACATGTTATTTATTATTATAACAAGAAATATTTCAATTCTAAAACAGACTTTAATAAATGTAAATTATAATCAGTTTTTGTCTGTCAACTATCGGACAGTCTATTTTCTTCTTCAAAAGCACATTTTTGTTTTTTTTAACTAAAAATTTTTTATTTTTTTGTGGATAGATATTGATTAACAGCGTTTACACACCTTTGAGATCGTATTACAATTGCCAGAATGAGTAAAAGAAAAAGAAAAAAACTTAGACGAATAACCACCACCACCATACAACTTTGTGTTCTCTAGATTGTGTTTACAGAATAATTTTACTAACTCAAGGACATTAACAAGCAGAGATATAAAAGATAAAAATCTGTTAAAATCTTACAAGCAAAATAAATTCTTTCTTGAACGAATTTAAAAGATTTTAAATTTATAAAATTCAATCTGTTAAACGTCTTTGAATGTGTCTGCTGATGTTAGAAACACATGCATACATACACTCTCATTTTTTGACAATATTTGTCAAAGATATACACTTTATTTCGTTATATGTAGTCCTTTATATATATAAACTTTCTATTTTTTGTAATTTGAAGTTTTTATGTAGAAGAAAAATAGTTCACAGGATGATTCTTTGAAAACAAAAAGCTTTTTTCTTTGCATTAGTATATTTGACACTGACAGTTTAACATGGACATATTTGACATTGTTTTCAGATTCATCTTTCAAAATGATTAATGCATATCCCTGATGCAACAAGAATGAGAAAACAGAGCTAGGCGAGCAGAAGTTGAGTTTGAGTACGAAGACCAGTATTTGATTGTCGAGTACGAGTACATTTTTTTTCAGAAAAAAGTCAAGGAATCTGTAGACATTGTTAGATTTTCAAGATTAACCAACGTTTGAGCGACTTCGACAATTGAGCGAAGCGTATCACTTATAGCTGAAAGATTGGCTGCTTTTTACAGTTTTGGACGGACAAGTTTTTTATGATTCGTCCGCTAGTGGCTCCATTTTTGTTATTAGTTTGATCCTAACATTATTTTACTTTGTTTGTGAGAGCCTAACTTATTTTATGTATACATTCACCTGCATCCTCACTCATCGAAGTGAGCAATCATTCCATTTTCCTCATTAGGAAAAGTCATATTGAAAAGTGTCTAATGTCGGATCGCTCAATCGTCGATTGACGGATTTTCAAATATGCATTTTTCTTTTTGTTAATTTATTCTGATTTTAGTAACCTCCCATAAGCGCGACAGGACTAATACTGTCTTTCTCAATCTCTAACAGCATGTGACATGTTACTCAATTTCAATGTTTCCGCAGGAAAAATTTTCTCACGTACATGCATGCGTAACTAAGTACGAAACCTCGAGTATGAGTATGTATTTGACCGTCGACTGTCAAAAATTAGTACCCGGCTCTGCAGCAGAAATATCGCATAGCGTTATATCTGCGATGGAAAGAATCAGATAGAAAACATTGTCTTTAGTCTATAAAAACATTTTTTACAAGCACAAAATGTTAAAATCTATTCTAAAAGTTTTAAAAATAAGTTACGATCAGTTACAATTCAGAACTGTTTTTCTATTGGAGCAGCAAGCCACATTTCTATTTTTCATTTACTTATTGGAATATTGAGTGAACAACTGCCAGAAAAACAATTTTCAGAGCAATTAATAGACTTTTCTTCACTGATAGAAATGACAGATTATATGACCTAGTTGGCTTGTAAAAGTGGTCATCAGAGTAAATCCTCAGTTTTGACTACATTTTCAAAAATGGAATTATATATGAATTAGATGTCACGTTAACCCGACTGACTGTTCAAGCCATTCTGTTTGAAAATTATGAGCTTTTGTAAAAGTCTGATGATGGAGTAGTGAATTAGAGAGTCACAGTAATATTTATAGACAGGAAAAATGCCGTACGACTCCTTATTTAGCCTAGCAAAGACAATGACCTGATAGTTCGTCTTAGTCTTTCATATATCCGACAATTCGTTTCAGTACTTTTCGAAAATTAGTCTCAGACCACACAAGGACATGAAATTAATACCAAAAAAGCAGTGTATCGAAAATTAGATGAACGAATAAAGCGTAGAGAAGAAGAATAACATAGAGTTTATGAAATGAAGAGAATATTCTCTCTAAATTTTCTATAATGTGACGAATTTTCTGCGACAAACTGTTCCGAAACGAATTGTCAGGTACATGAAAGACTCAGACGAATTTTTGTTGAACAAAAAAACTGAGACGAATTGTTCGCAAAGACAACCATAGCGGTGCTTTTAGCCTCTGGATAGCATCCAACTAGTAAAAAGTCTCATAAGACAGTTAGATTCAGGTGATATTATGGTGAGAAAACGATAGGAAAAGTGTATTAGAGCAATTTTTTTGTGGGGAGGAAGGCGTAGGTTTTGGCGAGGTTTTGATGGAAAAAAATATTCTAAATAATCTGTCGGAGGTGCAAGCCTCATCTGAGTTTTACTGTGAGATACTGCTGTCTATGCCAATTAAACTTTTAAGTGTAGCTTTTAAAGGTGGCAGTAGTCACGCGGTGATTGGCGAAACGATTTTACCGATGGGCAGCGGCGAGTGAAGACAGTTTTTTTCACAGTAAATCTTCTCGTTATTTCCTTTATCCAACGAACTTAGATCAGTGCATTAGTTGCAGGGGGGGAACGGCTGATTTTTGAGCTTAAAAAAATCGGTTGAAATCGAAAATCGCCAAAAAGCGGAAAAATCACTGCAAACTGGTGCAAAATCGCTCAAAAATGACTGACACTGCGAGAAATCCTATCTTAAGCCTTATCTGTTCTACTATGTCAGCTAAATAGATCGAGCTTACTTCTTTCTGTTTTATTACCTCTTGCAAGATTTTTCTTATTCCTCACTCACAGTTGTATAGATTTACTGATACCAAGCATATAGAAAAAGAATATCGTGGAGTAAAAACAAGAAAAACAACAATAACAAGGTTCTGGACTATTTATCGCCGTCTCTTTACTTGGTTTCCCAATGAAAGGAAATCGAAAAAAATTGATGAAGATCAGAAAAATCCCCAAATCAGCTGTTTCCTTCTTGATTAGATGACAGATGATATTCACTACGTTCATACAGATAATAAATTATAGGCATTGGGCTATAATATTTCAATAGTTCATTCCAAGTCTTCTTTGTATAGATCCTTATCTCGAATCATTATTCAGTCGATTACAGCCTTCCACAAACTTTGATGTATAACCATTACTGACTAGAGGTCTGCGGGACAGTCCCAGTCCTGCGGGATTGTCCCAGTCCCGTGGAACTTTTAACAGGACTGGGACCAGGTTTTTTTGAAAATAGTCTTGTATGAAGTATAAAAATTTCTTAGTTTCTGTGCCTGTTTGTAATACAAACAGGCACAGAACTACTGTCTACATACAAACTTTGTATGTAGACAGTAGTTCTGCGAGAAAGAATTCACACATAATTCGAAAAGTCCTTAGTTAATAATCTCATCCCATAGTACTATTTTCCAGATTAGCTTGAATTAGTGTCGCGCTGACACAGTTTGTTCAAACTTCAAATTTTTGTAAACACAGCTGAAGCTATAAGTTTCTTCTAGCTTAAACAATAGAAAAGGAAAAATGTCTACTGTTGAAAGTTCATAGTTGAATACTATTCATTTTTATCTATCAAAAAAAGTCATCATCAAGTGTTGCAGTTGTTGCCATTTCATCGTTATCACTATCATTATCTTTTTGCTTGTTATTATCATCATCCCGCTCTTCATATTTTTGTTTTTTTGTTAATGTTTCTGAACTTGTGTCTGCAGTAGTATTACATAAATCTTTGTAACTTACAACGCGCTGACTTTCAAACTACGGACGGTACTTTGAAAAAATATTTACGGGACCAAAAATGAGTTCCACTTTCCACGGGACCAAGACTTTTTTTCTTCATGGGACCGGGACCAAAAACGTTTGGTTTCGCAGATCTCTATTACTGACCGACATATTTCGAATGTATTCAAATTCAGAGTGCAACAATTGATAGTTTGAGTAAATCCCTATTGATTAATGAACTAATTGAGGACTTCTTGTATGATTTAGAAACATTGTTGGCTCATTTGATCATAAGATTAGTGCATGTTTTCTTTCAGTAGATCGTAGTAATGAAATCATTAGCCGTTCTTTTAACTGGTACATCTAGAAATGGAATTGTACCATTATCTACTTTTTCAAACGTGAATTTAATATACGGGTGTAATTTATTCAATTCATTTGGTATATGCTTTTCATCTATATTTTGTTTACAAACTGTGAAAGTGTCATCTACGTATCTTCACCATATTAAGAAAGCAAAGTTTTTATCGTTGAATACATTCGAAATATGTCGGTCAGTAATGGTTATCCATTAAAGTTTGTGGACACGGTTGGTTATAGACGAGCAATTACATAGAAGATATAAACAATCAGATTCCACAAACGTTATAAAATTGACAATAACAATAAATCATAAAACTCAATATATTGAAATTTCATTTGTCAGAAAACCAATTTATAATTTTGGAAAACAATTAAAAAGTAATAATAATCCAATAAGTGAACTATGCGTAATTTATAAAACATTCAAAACTATTAAACAACATTTTCCAAATAAAGAACGTTTAAATAATAACCAATTATCTGATCTAATTTATAAAATAAATTGTAATGATTGTCATGGTGACTATATCGATAAGAGTATTACCCTATGAAAAATTTAGGCGTAAATGTGACAAAAAAAATCATAATTTACGCGCCTTTATACGGTATTACTTTGGCATGAAATACGGTACATGGAGGGTCTCAACAGGCATAACTTAGTACTTAAAGTTGGCGTTTCAATTCAACGATGAAAAGAAATTTGTTTATCCTATACAACTCGTCACTTTTCATCATATACCTGATCTGCATTAAAAGCACTTCTGATATGCGGTCGTTGGGATATGGCATCAATGCTGTTTAGTCGGTATATTTATACAATAGT